AATGGATGCCAAATATTAAAAAGGTCATCAGTAGTGTAGGAAAATTCAAAAGTAAAATTAGAAATATAAAAGGAACAGTGAATGGGTGAGTAAAAGTGATTTGAAAAACTAAAGTCTTACAAAAGCTGGTACTTTTGTTCAACATTGCAGGGAACTCAGCATCCCGTATCATAAAGCCTGTCCTATAGGAGTCACTTCAAATTCAAATTGAGAAAAACATTATTGAAAATAAATTTGATGTGGTCTCCAGGTATAATTGAAAAACAATAAATAAATAAATAAATGTACCTACATTGGCATTTCCATGAATTAAACACAAATTATGTTAAAATATTTGTTAATACAACATAATTATTGATTAATCTGAAATGAGACTAAAATTATTTACAAAATTCAAATAAAATAATGTTTGATTTAAAAGATCTTTGTTACTCATGTGAAGACTCCTGGCCCATAAAGAAAAATCCAGACACATAAAATAATAATTAAATTTAACCTAATTTAAAAATATTTTGCTAACTTGCAATTATATAAAAATTGTAATTGTAGATTTTTTTTAATTTGGTCTTTATGAAGGTGTATTTGTCAAGTGGAGAGTGCATAAAACCACATTAGTCAGCTTTTGCTGCAAAATGCTATCTCACAAGCAACTCCAAAACCTCAGTGACTTCACAACAGAAAAGAAATGTTTACTCACATTACAAATCTCTGCAAGTGGCTGTAACTCTACAGCCTGGCTCTGTGCTATGAATGGATAGCAGTTCTTTTGCTATGAGTTCTCAATGTCAAGAGTAGTGGTACTTTTGAGAATAGGTTTTTTCCAAGGTGAAAATCCACCATAATGCAATGAAATTTTATTATTTGTTACAGTCAGTAGTAGCAATTCTCTTAAAGGGGGACCATATATGTTTTGAAAATGTCTTAAGTATTTATCTGGGTGAGTGATGAGAATGCAAAAGCAAGGGACCCAAGTCACTTGTCAGTGTGCCAGAAAGGAAAGCTGATTGTTCTGATTTAAAAATCAAAGAAAGTGAGGGGATGTGAGAGACGAAGAAAAGGAAAAAAAGGAAGGAAGGTTGAGAGGAGCCAGGATGTGAGAGTAGACTGAGTAGTGTTATAGTGAAGCAAGACGCCAAACAGATTGTGAAATCAGAGGAATTTTAACAGTCGTCAGGTTGGGGTATGTTGCTGTACAATAAATTACTCTCCAGTCTTCCCAATTCCTCAGTAAAATCTGCTAAACTCAAATGCCTCGCAGGGAGAGTGTTTTGATGAGGAAGTTGGTAATTTTCACAGCAGCCACAGGATGACAAACACGCTGAGCTAACTTGCTGGGACACATTTCTGGAATGCTTAGAATTCTCAAAAATCTGGGGGAGGCTTTCGGGATTCCGAATGGGGAACATGGCATCATCAGGCAGTCTTGTCTAAGTGCAAGTGGCAGTTCAGTTAGAGAAACCATTGAGACACTTTCTCTAATGTGGTCACTGTTATTAGCATCATGGCTCACTCAGAGCCACATATGGCCCATTAGCAACTGTATTTAAACCCTGTTCTTGATTCCACCTTACATCTCTGTTCTAGGATTCATTCTGCTTATGTCCCACTCTTTTTTGGAGATACTTCAATTACAACTTCTGTGTAAAAACTTCCTTTGAATTGTGCTAAAATTGCATTTGGAACATGATGAGGAAGGAAGGGAAGAAGAGAGAAAGGTAGAGATAAAATAATCGATTTCAAAAATTTTTGGTCTATCTGTATCTCCAATTTTTTCAGTGATTTTACTTGTTTTCCATCAGTTTGCTACTAACAGTTCTTCACCATCTCCATATCCCTTGTAACATACACAGTTACACAGTTTTTATGATAGATGAACATGCACTTATCAATTCATAAAGACAAGGTAACTGATCTAGCACATCAGTAGGATGGATTGTCCCTGATTTTGCAGCACTGCCAGCCTTCTTGCACACAAGATCTTGCACAGACATGGATTTTCTGAAAATTTGAGTTCATTTTTTAATTCAAAAAAACAAAAGTTCTGTTGAAAGCAGAAATAAAGTCATCACTTTATAATCAGGAGTAACACAATCTAATCCAAAAAGTCATTATTATACTATTCATAGAAGTGCCAGTGCCGGGTAAAGGTTATTTTTACTGATTTCTGCCTTTTCCAAGTTGAATGTACCTATTCAACATTTTGGTGGCCTGTTTATTGTTTATACTCTTCTACTGAACCTTTTACCTCAGAATAAGTAGGAGCTTAGTGACCACAAATAGTTTAGCTTTCCACGGGTATGAGGGGTTTTTTTGGTAGACATCATCGCCATTGGACTTCCCCAGTTTTCTTCTCCATGAACAACACTTGTTCATCTTACATTTTAAGGAGTTAATCTTATAACTCACTATAATTAATTAAAAAATTATTATATAATTATAAAATAATTCTAATATAGAAGAACATGAGAAATCTGGATTAGCTTTAAAAGGGAATAAGAGACACAGGACAAATCACTAAGGCTGTCTGCCCTATCCAACTTCTTTTGTGACTTAAACATTGGTTGCAGTGTAAATAAAGCATAGACTAGAAAATTACCCGTGCAGTGTAGGGCTGCACAGCCCCTTCCAAATAAACACATATGGGCAGAATCACAGTCATTCTGTCTCCACTTTTCTTCAGGAAATTCTACTGAGAAATACAACAAAACTCACAGATGGCCATAGGCTCAGGATAACATCTGTATCCTTGTAGAAACTTGCACAAGAGAAAAAGCAGAGAAAAATGATGAAAAAGAAAAAAAAATTACAGGAATCAAAAGAAAATTGGAGATGAAAGGGACCATGACTTATGGAAAGTGGAGAATGGTGAACCTGGATGCCCAGCACCTCTTTAGCTCCCAGCTCTAAGAAACCTGGACATTCTTTCTACCTTTTTTTGAGTTCTATTTTCATCCATTTCATAGAAGCTCCTTGAACTGTTCAGGTAAAACACCCCTTTCTGTTGACTTGAAAGATCTTTGACAGGAGGATGATAATAAAGGAAAATAGTCCCTGGCTACCTTTTGGGGTAACAGGTCTGGTTCCCCAAACCCAGCTGACCTGGTTCAATCACCCAACAGAACTAGCAAGGTCTTCCCAGGAGCACCATAAGTAGAAAGTGAAAGTAAGTAGAGACCAAAAACAAAACAGAAATTTAGAACAATAGGAGAGCAGCAGTGTCTCTTCCCACTGCTTTTTGTATTATCGATGCTTATGGCTAAAAAAAAATAATAACTTATCTCCCTCTAAGCTCTTATCCTTCCCACTTTGAGGAAAAAGAGAAGAATCATAACAGCAGAAGGCCACTTATAAATGGAAAAAGTAGATAAATACTTCTTTGGGGTAGGAGTAAGGAGAAAGAAAAAAAATTCCGGCAGACACGACTTCGGGGAATGTTTGGCACAGATGCAGGTGGGAACGGAGGGCACCAACAAAGATTTAGTTTGTTATGGTGCCTAGTAGCACTGATGCATTCAATCCTTAAACCAAATGATTTATTTTCTAATAAAAGAAATCCAGGCATTAACTGTATTTAGATACACCCTTTTCTTCTGCAGTTGCAGACCTCAGCACTTCCAAAATCTCAATTCCATTCTTCTCATTTAAGAAACAGTGCTTAGTAGAAGAAAGGATCTTCAAAGGGAGCAGGCTGTAGATTAGAGCAGTCTAAATATCTCACTTCCTTGGTAAAAGTAGAAATCATCTAGCAGTATCAGGAATTCAAGGGTAAAAGAGATTGTGATCAATATCTTTTGAGGCAGGACATTGAGCCGTGGCCCCTGGTTGGGCATTGATGGGGCAGTCATCACAGTTGTCATGGGAGAGACAAAAGCATCTTATAACCTGCAGGCACATTGCACATTATTCCCTTTACTCAGTAGAAATTTTATCGTCTTTAACAAAGTTTCACTGAAGTGGTGCTTTTTTTTTTTTCTCAATAATGTAACATCCGCATTACTCTCTTTTGACATCCTAAGAAGGTCTCCATAAATATGCATTTTCCTTTGAATTTATGATACAACCACACTGAGTGCATCCTTGACATCATGTCACTTCCTGAGTCATGCATTGACATTATAATGTTATTTACTACAAAGTCACATTGACAGCGTCTCAGGAACACTGTGACAGCATTTTAGTTGCCACAGAAAAGAACATTGAAAGCACATTTGGACAAAAATCACTTGGAAGGAAAAAAAAAACACACCAAATAGAATCCAGACTTAATTAGGCAGTTGTGCAAAATAATTTTACAATTTAAACAGTCGTTAGAAGTCTGTACTAGTTTGGTGATATATAAGAGACCAAATGTCACTCCTTTTAGAAATATAGAAAGAAGTTTTGGCTGAAAGAGGGAAGTAGGTAGAATCCAGAACTTCTTGCATTGATTTTGAATGTAAGAGACTCTTATGATCCATCATTTCTTTTTCTTGTTTTTTGGTCAAATGATTGTATCAGTAAAATATCAACCCACATTAAAATACAAATTTTAAAGTGGGTATACTTTAGTAAGAACTACAAAGACTATCACTTAGGTAGGGTTTAGTATCTTTCTTAACATTCAGAGTAGCCCAGAAATCTGTTTGAACCCAATTATTGATGGTGGTAACTATCAGTATGATCTCCTGCACTTATTTGTAATTGCCCTTACAGAGTTGAATAGATCAGTACCATTGGTAAAAAAGGGAAAGAACAAAAGTAAAATGATCTAAGTCATATTTATATGGCGCTGATTCTGTGCCAAATCTCCCCGAACATTTTATGTGTATAACCCCATTTAGTCACTATGGGCATGCCGTGAGGTGTGCATAATTATTATTGACACTCTACTTAGGAAAGATAGTCTGCAAGAGGTGAACCACTTTCCCACAGGCACAGAACTAGAAAGTGACGGAGGTGGGATCTGAATATGTCTGACTTCAGTAACCAGGCCGTAATACCTTTATAAGAAAGGAGGGAAGGTGCTTGCTTCGGCAGCACATATACTAAAATTGGAACAACACAGAGAAGATTAGCATGGCCCCTGTGCAAGAATAACACACAAATTCATGAAGCATTTCATATTTTTGAAAAAAAAAAAAAGAGGTAAGTTGGACCAGAAGTGTTCACCTGGTGGGAGTGGCCCTGTGCATCCACAAAGGCTTCCAGCTCATGAAGAAGCATAGTCCATTTTCCATCCCTGCAGGGAGGCTGATGGAAGGCATATGTCTCTGACCTACTGCTATGTTTCATGAAGCAAGGTGGGATTACAAAATCATGTCCGTCAGCGTCATGTCTGAAACAGATTACAAGAGTACAGATGGGCTCCTGGAGAGGCATACTCAGCACTCCCAAGTCCTTTGAGTTTTAGGCTGTTGCTACTAGTACTCTGGCAAATAATTTTGCTTTATAAATGATTTAGGTGAAGAGTTAAGCATGGCTGGGTGTCTATTCCTAGTTTATGTCTTAACTATCATGTATTCAGAAATGTTAAAGTCATTTTCATAGCCTATTTTTATTTTAGCTGTAGCTTTTTATGGCTTAGTTAAAATTTAACTTCTTATTTTGATTATCTTAAATATACTTTATGCCAAATTTTATTAATTTACATTAATCACATTATCATAATGGCAGACACAAAATATACTACCCCTTAAATACAGTGCTTTAGAACAAATCATTAGTGCAAGGGAGGATATAATACCTGTCAGAAGCCATGTGGGTGGAATGAGAACCAGGGGAATGTGACATCTAGGCAGAAGACCCTCCAAATAAATACTGGAGACAACAGTAGCTGTAAGGTAATATATGCAAGTTCCTTTAATGCTCAATAGAACCTAAATGTGTTTTGTGTTAGTAAAATTGTCACTGCTGTTTGCTGATGACATGACCTTATGTATGGAAAACTCTAAAGACTCTACCATAAAGCCATAGGACTAAAAAAAATGAACACAGTAAAGTTGCAGTTTACAAAATCAACACACAAAAATAATTAGAGTTCCTATACTCTAACAAACTATCCAAAAATAACCAAGAAAGCAATCCTATTTACCCTAGCTTCAAAAATTAAAATTATTAGGAATATATATGTATATTTTTTTTGATACAGAGTCTCACTTTGTCAACCATGGTATCACAGCTCACAGCAACCTCCAACTCTTAGGCTTAAGCGATTCTCTTGCTTAGCTCCCAAGTAGATGGGACTACAGGCATCCACCACAACGCCCAGCTATTTTTTTGGTTGTCGTTGTCATTGTTGTTTGGCAAGCCCTGGGTGGGGTTCAAACCTGTCAGCACTGGTGTATGTGGCCAGAGCCCTAGCCATGAGCTATAGGCGCCAAGCCTCTTAGGAATAAAATTAACCAAGAAGATCTGTCCATTGAAAATGATAAACCTTTGATGAAGGAAATTCAAGAAGACACAAATAAATGGAAAGACAGATCATGTGTACAAATTAGAAAAATAATATTGTAAAATTGCCCCTGCTACCCATCTATTTACAGTTTTAATGAAATCTTTAACAAAAATTACAACATCATTGTTTATAGAAAAAGGAATCTTAAAATTCATATGGAGCCACAAAACCCCCAAATAGCCAGGCAATCTTGAACAAAAAGAACAAAACAGGAGGCATTGCATTTTCTAGCTATAAATTACATTGCAAAGGCAAAGTAATTCAAACAACATAGGAACAAATTCTTTTTACCAATATGTTTGTCAGGATTTTCTGAGTACAGTAAAATCTTATTAAATACCACTCAAATTCAATTAGGGTATCAATGATTTTTTTCTTTAAAATATTGTGACAAGAGACTCATTGATTGATGTTGAAATTATTTTTCTAACCTCAACCTAAAAAGTACTACAGATAATTATATTTTTTTCTGATTCTTTTATTTGTCCCTATGATCTGAATGTATTCATTCAACCATTCAAACTCTGGAATTCACTCAATGGTGCCTCGAAGTGGTTTTTTGAGAGAATATTTTCATACCTATAGAATCATATGTGCAGTTCTCGTGTCAAATTGCCTCAAACTTTTATTTAATAGGCAGCTGCTACCCAAGGAATCACCCAACTGAATTCTTTCTTTCAATTATGCACTTAGAAAGTCTGAGGAATGTGTATTTCCCAAGGACTTTTAACTGAATAGATTTGTCTAGTTATTTTCAAATAATTCTTAAACAGAGGAGCTGAATGATTTTCAACATAACCAGACATTAGTTTGCTGCCTGCATTCTAAAAAAATATTTTGCTTAAATAAGTAGGTTGAAGGTGACAACTATTTGACCTTCTTAATCTATTGCTAGAAATTATTCCTGGTGATTTTCATTTTCTTTTGATCTATAATGTGGAAAGTATGTAACACTTGTTTTGATTATAGATTATGCTGCTGACAAGTTATTCACTAGGTTGGGACACCAGAACAAAAAATAAACATATACCAACATATGTACATATCCACACATATCATATTCCTAGCAATGTACTAGCCTCTAGTAACTTTCTGCCTCATTAGTTTATTTTAAAAATCAAAGTAATATGTGTGCACAAGTGGTTATTAAGGAGTAAAATTATATAGAAATTTTCATAATGAAGAGCAATAAATGTCTACCCCATTTCCCTGTTTCCATCCCCAATCAAATTCCCTTTTCTCTTTCCTCACAGTGAGTTTCTTTATTTTTTAGTTTGTTGGATTAGTACCTCCCCATCTCTAAATAATATTATTCTTAATATTCTATAGTGTATCAACTTTGGATATAGATAAGTGACTTTCTCATTAGTAGATAAGATTATCTTATGCTATTTACATCTACTCTGATAATATCATTTTATCACCTTTAATTTTTCAACTCCTCAAATTCGAAGAATATATTTAAACTACATGTCCCATGCTATTGAACATAGAACATACTGGCTCACCATTCTCAAATACAAAGACATCTTTCATGAGAAGATGAAGGTATACCACATTTTTTTATAACACTTCACTGATCAGGAGATATGGCAATTCTAAAATTTCAAAACAATTCTAAAGTATATTACCATGGTTACATTTTAAAAATATTATTCTCTACAAAAGCATTTCGTGTTCTAGACTTACATTTCCTACCTACAAACACTATAATAGTCATGTGCTATACAAAGAAAATATTCTTGCTCTTCCCCTAAGTGGCCTGAGGTGATCTGTGAAAATGGTTTGCTATTCACTTGACCCAGAAAACCCCACAAAGTCATGCAGGTCAAGAGGCTCACATCTTCGTGTTCACTTTAAGAACACACATGAACCTGCCCAGGCCATCAAGGGTATGCATATATGAAAAGCCACCAAGTATCTGAAGGATGTCACCTTAAAGAAACAGTGTGCACCATTCCAACATTTCAATGGTGGAGTTGGCAGGTGTGCCCAGGCCAAACAGTGGGACTCTACACAGGGTCAGTGGCCCAAAAACAGTGCTGAATTTTTGCTGCATGTGTTTAAAAATGCAGAGAGTAATGCTGAACTTGGGGGGTTAGATGTAGATTCTCTGGTCATTGAGCATATCCAAGTGAACACAGCACCCAAGATGCATCACCGAACTTACAGAGCTCATAGTCGCATTAACCCACACATGAGCTCCCCCTGACACATCGAGATGATCCTTACTGAAAAGGAACAGATTGTTCCCAAACCAGAAGAAGAGGTAGCACAGAAGAAAAAGATATCCCAGAAGAAACTGAAGGAACAAAAACTTATGATACAGGAATAAATGCAACATAAAATAAATGCAAATAAAGTAAAAGGAAAAAAAAAGAAAATATTCTTAATATAAGGTTTAAATTCTTTAGTTTTTATTCTACCATGTATTTTTACCACATTTTGGATTGAACTCAAGTTGTTCATCCAGTTTTACCAATTGGAGGCCTTTTTCTTCATGGTTGCTAAACTACTTTTTATTATTACCTTGATAATTTCCGTCTGACAATTTATGTTACTACTTTCATAGTTTTACCAGTTCCCTCTTTCTAATAACCTATTGGCTGAGTATCTTTCTTATGTGTTTTGATTTCTAGTCTAATATTTCCTCAATATTTCCATTCCCATTCATAATTATATTTTATTAAAATACATGTTTATGAAAATGTAAGAATGAAAAACAGAAAAGATTATCACGTGCTCTAGCTGCATGAAGGATTTCTCTATAGCCCGTGATGTGGTTTGAGATCATTTTACCCCTAGTACGATTTTCTACAAAATTGGAGTTGATCTTCTCAAAAGCTGGTGTTGTTTTATCAACTAAGTTTATGTAATATTTAAATCCTGCCTTGTCTTTTCAACAATGTTCATAGGATCTTCACCAAGAGTAGAATCTATCCCAAGAAACCGCTGTCCTAAGCTCATTCATAAGAAGTGACTCTTCATCCTTTCAAGTTGTGTCATGAGACGGCAACAATTCAGTCACATTATTTTTCAGGCTCCACTTCTAATATCGTTCTTTTGCTATTCCACCACATCTGCAGTTACTTCCTCCCACGAAGTCAGCTACAAGGGTTGGTATCAATTTATTCCTGACTCCTATCAATGTTAAGGTTTTGACCTCCTCCCATGAATCATGAATGATCTTAATGACATCTAGAATGGTGAATCCTTACAGGTTTACAATTGACTTTGCCTAGACCCTTCAGAGGAACAGCCATGGATGACAGCTATGGACTTACAGAATATATTTCTTAAATAACAAGACTTAAAAATCCAAGTGCTCCTTGATTCATGGTATGCGAGATGGATATTATGTTATTGATACTAGTTTTGTCTTCTGGCTGAGTTCTTTGTATTGGGAATTGAAGTGGGGGCAATAGATGAATAGTTCATTTTCCGTGCCTGTTTCCCAGTCCCTTCTGAAAGAATTCTAACTACTATCTTTATCAGGCATGAAAACTACATTAATTTTTTGCATATCTCTATCAGAACTCTTGAGTGACTAGATACATCACCAGTTAACAATAATATTTTGAAAAGATATTTTCTTTTTCCTGAGCAGTACATCTCAATAGTGGACTTAAAGTATTCAGTAAACCATGCTACAGACAGACATGCTGCTCTCCAGG